CATTAGAGACAAGACTGAATGGGATCACTATATAAGACATAGCATAGATGATCAGTCATTAGAGACAAGACTGAATGGGATCACTATATAAGACATAGCATAGATGATCAGTCATTAGAGACAAGACTGAATGGGATCACTATATAAGACATAGCATAGATGATCAGTCATTAGAGACAAGACTGAATGGGATCACTATATAAGACATAGCCTAGATGATCAGTCATTAGAGACAAGACTGTACGAGATCAGTCTATAAGACATAGCCTAGATGATCAACCATTAGAGACAAGACTGTATGGGATCACTCTAAAAGACATAGCCTAGATGATCAGTCATTAGAGACAAGACTGAATGGGATCACTATATAAGACATAGCCTAGATGATCAACCATTTGAGACAAGACTGTACGAGATCAGTCTATAAGACATAGCCTAGATGATCAACCATTTGAAACAAGACTGTATGGGATCAGTCTATAAGACATAGCATAGATGATCAACCGTTTGAAACAAGACTGTATGGGATCAGTCTATAAGACATAGCCTACATTATCAACCATTTGAGACAAGACTGTATGGGATCACTATATAAGACATAGCATAGATGATCAACCATTTGAGACAAGACTGTATGGGATCACTCTATAAGACATAGCATAGATGATCAACCATTTGAAACAAGACTGTATGGGATCACTATATAAGACATAGCCTACATTATCAACCATTTGAGACAAGACTGTATGAGATCAGTCTATAAGACATAGCCTAGATGATCAACCATTTCAGACAAGACTGTATGAGATCAGTCTATAAGACATAGCCTAGATGATCAACCATTTGAGACAAGACTGTATGAGATCAGTCTATAAGACATAGCCTAGATGATCAACCATTTGAGACAAGACTGTATGAGATCAGTCTATAAGACTATTGGTGGAATACTATTAGAATATTATAAAACTTCTCACTCGTTTTCCTTTCGGACTCTTTTTTTTTAACAGTTTTGAACGATTATTCATATTTAATATTTATTCATGTTTAACATCACCTGTTTATATTCAATAGGATAGGTTTAACAGGAACTTTAAATCATTTGTTGTGCCTTTAGTGTTTCGCGTAGTGAGACTTGTCTTGTGTCGTTACCGTTACTATACATTACTAGTGTTATATATAATGCATATCATCACCATAAACTTGAATGAGGAAATATTTTTGTACTTGCAGCGACCCGCAAAACATTTGCGGTCAAATTCGTATCTTTATTGCAACAGTACTTCTCTGAATACAGGATTTCTAGAATAATGCAAAAGAATTCTAATCGCAGACACCGAAATCAGTAAGTTTACTTGTCTTAAGCCTAACATTAGTTAAGCCTTTATCAAGTGCGGCCTATATTCGATAAATAAACTAACACTGTAATTTGTACACGTTTCTTGCTTCAGTTTAGTTAGGACTAAACTTTACCGTGCTTTATACTATCATTAAATAAAGTTATTCTACGACCTAACGTTAATCCTTTTTAAAAACTTTGATGAACTTTTAATATGTTGTTGTATAAAATGTCTGCCTTGTGTTTACGTCCGATGAATTGAAGTGCGAGCGCATGCGTATTTAGATAGTAAGGTGCGCGCGCATTTACAGGACAGACAAAAACTGCGTATTGTTATAATAGATTGTACTTGATCGTATGCTATGAAAAATAAAGTTTTGCCTGTGCTTTTATCCACAATCGTAAAGATCTTTTAAGAATGGTTACGAATGTTATGGTTTTATGATCACAACTTCACTGAAACGTATTTTATGTATTCTCACCAATGTTAGGATCTTCAGTAGAATAGTAGGGATTTCTTTTTTCACACCTTGCCTCACATTCTTCTTCACTTCTGAAGTTGTTTTCGTTCCCCTGGCATCCGCCGTATTCGAAAGACAGACACCTTTGACGAGTTGGGCTGTAATAATACCGTCGAAACGACGCACGACAAGGGCCGCGTTCTGGGGGTAACTGACAGATGTCAACGCCTAAAAAATGTCATTAAAAATTATGTTTTATAGTTAACATTATTAATTCATTCATAAATCACAAAGAAAAGAAGAAGAGTTCTAGTATCACAAATGTTGTAATAATGAAGAATTAACGAAACCAAACACGAAAGAATAAGAAACAACTGTTTTTTCTTCTGCTAAATCGGCTTTGTTCACTTTCTCAGTCGAGAGAATTGAACCTTGAATTATAGCGACATGATCCCTCAAGCTTACTGCTGAGTCACTGGAGGAGCGTGGAATGACCTAGTGGTTAGGGCGCTCGACTCACAATCTGCGGGTCGCTGGTTCGAATCCCGGTCACACCAAACATGCTCGCCCTTTCAGCCGTGGGGGCGTTATAATGTGACTATAGTTTAAACCTACAACACCAGTAGTATCACCAGCCATTGTCTAAACCTACAACGCCACTAGTATCACCAGCCATTGTCTAAACCTACAACGCCACTAGTATCACCAGCCATTGTATAAACCTACAACGCCACTAGTATCACCAGCCATTGTCTAAACCTACAACGCCACTAGTATCACCAGCCATTGTCTAAACCTACAACACTAGTAGTATCACCAACCATTGTCTAAACCTACAACGCCACTAATATCACCAGCCATTGTATAAACCTACAACACCAGAAGTATCACCAACCATTGTCTAAACCTACAACGCCACTAGTATCACCAGCCATTGTCTAAACCTACAACACCGGTAGTATCATCAGCCATAACTAAACCTACAACACCAGTAGTATCACCAGCCATTGTATAAACCTACAACACCAGTAGTATGACCAACCATTGTACAAACCTACAACGCCACTAGTATCACCAACCATACCTAAACCTACAACACCAGTAGTATCACCAGCCATTGTATAAACCTACAACACCAGTAGTATGACCAACCATTGTATAAACCTCAAAAACCAGTAGTATCACCAGCCATTGTATAAACCTACAACACCAGTAGTATCACCATCCATTGTATAAACCTTCAACACCAGTAGTATCACCAGCCATTGTATAAACCTACAACACCAGTAGTATCACCAGCCATTGTATAAACCTACAACACCAGTAGTATCACCATCCATTGTATAAACCTACAACACCAGTAGTATGACCAACCATTATCTAAAC